TGTTTGTTCTTCTGGCAGTCCATGGTACATTCATTATTCTTTGCCAGCACTGTAATTCAAACGCATTGATTCTTTCTTATCCATTGTTCAGCTTTTGCATACATATACCCATTTTTCTAGGACATAAGTGTCCGGAGACATTCCGTTGTAGACCTTCTTGTGGGTTTACCAGAGTGGCTGTAACTCGACCCCAGGTCCTGCACTAAGGAATTACATTGGGATACAGGGTATTGAATGATGAAAATCTCATAGGGATAACTTTGAATCTGTCCTAAGTTATCAGAAAATTAAGTGATATATGGGAATGAAGGCTTTTTATTAGTAACAAATCACTTTAACACTCACAGTGAATAGGTCAATGCCTGGTGTGAGAGGACCTGGTCCAGGGCACATCCGTCCTTGCCTGCCCACAGCTCTTTCTGAGCCCTCCACCTGCAGGTGGGTGCTAAGTTCGCAGCGTAAAGTAGAAGTAGCCTGTAGTCATTTAAAGTGTTGCAAAACTTTGGTCTTTGGAATCGAAAACAATCTATGTGAATGAATCTCTGAAGAAAATGAGGTCCTTAATCTCCTGATGGCTGGTCATTCTGTGGATTGTTATTTAATCTATCAGTTGACTTTTAGGCATAGGCATGAGGCAGATCCAGGGATGCAGAGGAATTTAGGGTAGATAGAGAGCATCCTCACTCTCTATAAACCATTACTGTCACATGGACTCCAACTCATAGCAACCCTATTGGACAGAGTAGAACTGCCCCATAGGATTTCCAAGGCTGCAGTCTTTAAAGAAGCAGACTGCCACATCTTTCTGCTGCAGAGCAGCTGGTAGGTTTAAACTGCCCTTTCGGCCAGCAACCAAGCACTTAACCACTGCACCACCAGGGCTCCTTTCTGTAAAGATTACATCCTCAACCTACAACTTCATTATTTATCTGTCCACCAAGTGGGTAACACTGGATCTGCAGATTTCTAGGCTAGGGTGGAAAATAATCAGCCTGGCATATTTTAGATCCAATTCTGCCAGAAAACGGAGTGGGCCCCTCTACCCCACCGTGTTTCTTTTTAGCCTTCTAATTTTGTTACTGATGAATTTATAACCACCCAGAGAGCAGAAAATACAGCTTTCTCAAAGCTTGGCCAAAGTCCTTGGACTGGTAGCATTCCTAGGACTTTTTAGCCAAGAAACTAAGATTCTAAGATCTTTGAGGATAAAGGGGTCGGGGAAATGGGAATATGCCATGGGCAGGTATCTGCTTTGTCCACAGGTAACCAGACCTTGAACATTCTGTCTGGTTCTATAGTTCACTGCATTATCACTGAATAGAGGTGGATTTGGAGAAGACTTTAAACAAAGTAGGTCCCTGGATGGCGAAAACAGTTTGTGCTTGGCTACTAACCAAAAGATTGGCAGTCTACCCACTGAATCTACCCACTGGCACCACAGAAGAAAGGCCTGGTGACCTACTTCCATATGATTGAAAACCCTATAGATTACAGTTCCACTCTGACACACATGGGGTCGCCATAAGTTGGAATCCACTTGATGGCAATGGGTTTGGTGAAGCAGAGTGTTTGTCCCCTCCCCAGGAGTGGAAGCCGACTGGCTGCCTGTCTCTCAGCACCATCCAGCTATCATAGTCTTTGCTTTCCCTACAGAATTAGCAGGGTAGCTGCGTGAAGGACATTGGTGAGGGTGTGAATGTCTCCTCAGTCCTGGGACAGTGGCCAGTCAACGTAGGCACTTGGTCTCTTCTGTGTTTCATAATAGCCAGTATCAAATAACACAGTATCTGGAAAATTTTGTCTAAAAATTAACGAAAGAGTCGAACCTTCACAACAACATTTCAATGTGCTGAATTTGACTTAGGAAATCCAGACTGGGTAGGTAGGAATCGGTCACAAAAGGGAGAAGCTGTAATATGTAAAATTTGAGGTGGACAAAAGATAACTTTTTAATGGCATCAGATCTCTTTGGTTGAATTTAGATGGAACAGAATTGATACACTTGAAAATAATTTCAATAAAAGTAAAATGGAAAAGTTTATCTGTGTTGTATAAAAACAGGTGAAGAGATTAGGTTTGCTTAATGGAGTTAAGTTCAGAAGATTCTCAACAGAATTTCATCCATACTGATACAGTCTTGATGGAACTCTGGATGTATAAGCAGCCCAGACTTCCTTGGGAAGAAAGGAGCGGGATCGCAAAGCCCTGCATCCATCTGGCATCATGAAGCAGCTGTGACTCCTTTCTTTGGTGGCATTTGGCCAGGCACACATGCATTTGGAAGCCCTGTGGGCCCTGGAAGGCCATCTGCTTTTCACACACTTCCACAGGGCACCTGCCTTGGCCATGGGGAGACTTTGCTTCTCTGGTAGTTGAAAGGGTGCTCTGGGTAAGGGGGTACTTGGTTATGGGGGTGCAAAGGCAGAGCTGGGCAAGGGGTGGAGATGCTACTAACTGTAGAGACTTCCTCCCAAAAGTAATTCCTATCACATGGCTTGAGGGCTGGCTGTGAGGTAGAGAGATATTAAAAGCTCTATTATTCAAAGACTGGTTGTTTAGGTGCCTTGATTTCATGCCTCCTTGTTCCCATTGCCCACTGAACCCCCTTGGGAAAGGGTCTAAAAGAAAGTAAAACTCAAATCAGGTATTAGCAACTTCTGTTAAACTTTCATGAGAGGTGTGCGACAGAGCGCGAGTGAAAACATGGGAATTGGAGACTGTAATAAAATAGCAAAATTTTGTGTTCTCCTTAATGAAGGAGAAATAAGGTCTATGTAGCTTTTAATTCTCCATATTGTCTCTGGTCCTGCATGGCAGTAGTCATTGGAGAGTGTCCACATTTATTGTGCATATGCTTGGTTTGGAGAAAACATTTCATCCCATTTTCCTCTCTTTCAGGTTTCAAGTGCCCCATTTGCTCCAAGTCTGTGGCTTCTGATGAAATGGAAATGCACTTTATAATGTGTCTGAGCAAACCACGCCTCTCCTATAATGGTAAGAGCTCAGCCTACCTCACCTGCCACCTTGAGTGTCAGCCAGGGGGTGGGAGGTAGATGGTTCTGTGAGGAGCCTTTGATGATGGTCTCCCCAACATCACATGGCTTTGTGCAGCATTTCTACCCTGCCTTCCGGCAGAAATGCCTCAGTGGTAATAAGGAGCCAGACTTTTGCAGGGGGACTTGTAGAAGTTGGAGAAAAAGAGGAGCGGGACAAGGAAGGGAGGCATCGGATCAGGTTCAAGGTACACTGTCTCTCAGGTTGCTCAATTCTTTTGAGCTTTATTCTGCACCATCACTTCATTGGACCTTTGGTTGGAAGATAGGGCCATTCCTTCACTGTTCACACACCTGCCTGTGGTTGGCTCCAAGACATCTGGACTCACTCCAAGAGTTAGTTCTGAGCAACAGAAGGGCCCCAGAGGGAGCACCATCTCCTTGGGGAAGGGCTATCTCTCTGTTGGTGGTGTGCAGGGAGTACTGGGAAGCCTGGTTGTTCTCCTTGTCACTCTGCAACTCTCAAACACCTGATTAAGTTCTGTGAGCATAAGTACAATACTTGGACACCCTTTAGTGATTAAAAACGCTGGCACACTACCTAGTTGCTCTACCACGGCCAAGCTGCTTCATACCACGGCCATGCTGCTTCCTACCTGGGAGGCTGTCGCAGAGCTGAGCAGTGAATAATAGGATAGGATCATGGAGCCAGAGGAGTCTGTGAATCCCAGGTCACCCTAACATGGCACCTCTGTGAACAAAATGAATGTAAACAGGGACAGATTACCTATAAGCAAGGTATGCATGGGTTTACTTGTGCTTACTTACGAATCTGTATTGCACAATTTCACCTGTTTTTCACCATACCTTTGATGAAACCCATGTGATATCGTGTGCTACAAATTAGTAAGTAAACACAATTAAGCCCATGCGTACCTTCCTTATTGTAAGCCTACGCGTATCTTGCTTATGGTTAATCCGCCCCTGAGTGTAAACATCTGCTGGGTATGGTGTGGGTAAGGATTTGGAGTTAAACTGATTTGAGTTCAAATCCTGCCTCTACCACTTACTGACTATATAGTCTTGGAAAAGTTGCTTAACTTAACAGAGCCTCAGGTTTCTGGTCCATAAAATGGGGATATCGATAGCCATTTTGTAGCCATTTATGTGTGATGAGGTATTACACATAAAACACTACAATCCAGAGCCTGGTACATGGAAGTCATGGCCACCATGAAAGACAAGAGGCCTTCCACAGATTTCTTTTCATCTTTTGTCACAGTGGACTGACTTCTCTTTGATGCTGCACACCCTCTGGCACTGGTGATTCTCTGGTTTTCCACTCTGTTAGGTGTTGAGTCTGGTCTTCAAACCGTGTTCATCAGAGAGCCATGTCTTCTAAGACAACAGGTGCTGAGTCTGAATGGGGGGCTCTCTCCAGCCCTGGGACGGGACCCACCTTCTAGGATTAAAGTCACATCCATGGTCAGGAGGAGTCCTGTGATTACTTAGAGTCTTGAGGACTGTGCTCAAGGGGAACCTGGGTAATTCAGCCCCATCCTGACTGTGGAAGTTTCCAGGATAAACCTTCCTCACAGGCCCGTCCTTGGGCTCCTGCCCTGATAGCTTCCTCAGACCCAGACATGCTCCTTTCCCCACACAGCACTGGTCTAGGGAGGGCCTCTGGTGCTGGTGGAGAGTTTATCACTTTCCAGATTACTCCTGGGAAGTAAGCATGAAGAACCTGATCTACTTAGTTCTCCTGAAAGCATATCAACTCTGCTCTTATCTCGTATTTAATTGCTTGGCCAAAAGGTTTTGGATGCAGTGGCCGTGCTGCCCACTTGTTCTAGCTGCAGGCAAGCCATTAACCTTTGCTCAGGGTGGAGACCAGCTGCAGGGCAGGTTGTGGCCCTGTCTCACCCCCCCAGCAGATCTTTCCCCATTTATATCCTACCTAGTGTCAGGGAAGCCTCTTGTTTTCTCCAGGGGACAAGGGAAGGCTGTCCCCTGGAGACTGGCTGCCACTGTGTCTCTGACTCTTGTCATGTGTGCCCTGGGCTTCCTGTCAGACTTGAGTATGTGCATTCTGTCGAGGGTCCTCAAGATCAGCTTTGTTCCTCTTACCCATCTCTGCTTGGGACCACAGAGGGAGAGGAGTCCTCTCTTGCGTCTCACAGCCCTCCCCAACCATGGCCTCACAGACTGTATTCACTTATCTGCCCACATGTGTGGAGATCTCATGAAGACATCTTTTTGTCCTGTGGGCTTTTGGAGAGAGTTCTCTGTAGAACACTGTCTTTGCTATAATAAGAACACAAAGAAGCCTCAGAATGGCCTCTGACAGAGAGAGCATGGCTATTGGAGTCATCAGGGAGAACTTTGAGAGAGCAGCTGTGGAGGCAGAGTCCTCTTGGGGCCACCCTGAGTAAGGGGCTACCCCACGTGCCTCACTTGGAGAACAGGGAAGATGAACTGCCCATGGTGTCTCCTAGTGTCTCGGTCCTCTTCTGGATTAGCCCTTGAGCACCTGGTTTTACCAGTACATGTCCTACCAACCAGCAGCCATAGGGGAGGGTCATCCTTTCCTTTTTACCCCTGCCTGCACAGGAGACCAGGCTTGGCCACCCAGCTTGAGCACAAATGATCCACAGAAACTATGATTGGTGTCCCTTCGGAGGAAGAAAGGTTAGCTGGCTTAGCCCACAGCCCAAGCATAAGCTGTACCAGTCCTATTTTTCCCTCTTCCTCTAATTGAGAGGCTACCTCCTCAAGGTGTCAGGAGGGACTGGAAACTAGAGGCTTTAAAGTCAAGCATCACTTTTGCAAAAGCTGTTCTTTTACCACTAGAGGCAAAGTTCCATCCAGTGGTACTGTCAGTGGAATTTGCCTGAAAATGAAGAAGGTGCTTCAGAACCAGTGGTCTAATCCCTCTGTGGGTCCTGTTAAGGCAAAAAGGAGACCTTCGTGGCCTGGACTGCTTATATTCAGGCATTTGTCTTACCTGAAGACACCCAAACCTTCAGATAAGAGGAAAGCATTTTACCAGCTGGGATTTGAAAGCTTGGAGTACAAGTCTCTAGGGGACAACTACAGGTCTAGGGTCTGTTCTAGTTCCTTCTTCGATTCAGACAATCCTTTTCTATAAAAACTAGAGACCAGGGCTTAGCCATCAGCTTCCTCTCTGGCTCTTTCTTAGCATTGTCATGAAGCTAGGAGGGTCAACAGTCCTCCTCACCTTCTCCGGGGACCATGGGCCAAAACCCAGAGCCCCCCAAGTCAGGAAATATGGGTGTTTATTTTAGCCTATCAGTACCATGTTTTATCCATGATCTCTCTTCATCCCAGCCTCCCCTGTTCCACTCCACCTTTTCTGTTAAAAAGAAAAATTGTAAAGAGACTTAAACAATCTGTGAGTGTAGAGCTCTTAGGATCTTTCTGGAAAGGGAGCAAGATGAGGCTTTCTTAATGGGGAGAGAGAGAGAGAGAGAGAGAAGTGCTGTTTCCCCATAAAGATCTGCTAGACCTCCTGATCACTCCCCTGGAGACATCCCATCTACACACACACACACACACACAAACCATGCACACAGATACATACACGTGCTTTCTGAAATTTCTGGCACCAATTGGGGAAATTTTTAGAAAATTTACGGTAGTTATATAAGATGAAATTTAGTTAACCACCAGAGGAAAAAAAGTGGAAACCTCCTAAATGAGGCAGATAGAAAGTAGTATTTTTCTTATTATGAGGGTTGGCCTGAGCAGTGGGTTGGAAGGCCTCCAGTAGTCGCCTGCCAGATTTAAAAAAAAAAAAAATTAGAAAAGGCAAGACTAGTTTAACTGGTTCACCTCATGCCCAGGAGAAACGTGCAGACTAGTACCTGGTGCTCCCAGAGCAAGTGCCTGGCGATCAAGGCTGGTGATTGAGCTGAATCATACAGGAGGGGCAGGGAAGGGTGGTGGACCTCAAAGCACTGAGGGTGACATCCTTTGTTCCTGGAGCTCTCGTCCCCAGGCAGCTGTAGACCAGGACTCCTGGAAGATGTGGGCACAGCGTAAGAGAGAGGAAGGAGCAGGTGGGACCCAGTGATTTGGGTGGGTGTGGTCAGCTTGAGTGGGCCTTTTGCTTTCTCTCCCTTCCCCACCTCCGTTTACAGTTCTGAGACTTTGGGAATGTACCCTCCAGGAGCACTCGAACTGTGACTCTCAAATTGCTCTGCCAGCAGAATGAATCTCAATATGTGGGGGTCTGACGTTGCTATGAACAGAAGAGAATCCTAATAGCATGGGGCATGGATATAAGACCCAAGGTCCCTGGCCCCAGGCGAGTATGTCTGTGGCAGCTTCCTTTGTCAGCAGTATAAGGAGGGCGTGGTTGTCAAACTGCTTCAGAAGATAGTCTCTCCCCTTTCCAACCCATGCCCTGCTTCTTATTGTCACAACCCTCTCCTCTTGCCAAGGGTCACTGCCCCCATCTTCAAGGGCTCTTGAACTGTTAATTGTCACACGAGCTTTCTTTAAAGGAGAGGGAGCCTGGCTCCTGTAAAAGCAAAAAGACCTTCCGCCTATAGTTTATCCCAAGCAGAACCAGCAGACACCTGTAAACGGTGCTTATTTGACCTGTTGTGTCTTCTGCTCTCAGAGACCCCTGTGGGGGGCTGGAAGCACTTTTTCTCATGCCTGGGGAAGCCACTGTGGGCTGGGAGTTTGCCGGCCCTGCGTGGGGTGCCAGGAGCTATTGTTGGGTGCTGCAGCAGCGCTAGAGTCAGACAGCTGCAGAGGTGTCTGGATGCTCCTTCTAGGAGGTAGGAGGGAGGGAGGGAAGAAGGGAGGAGGTGGACTCTCCCAGATTGACCGAGGCTGGGTGAATGAGGACTAGGAGGGAGGAAGCCTGCAGGGCCAATGCAAGGGGGGAGCCAGAAAGGGCTGGCTCTAGGAGAGGGGACTGGGCAGGGTAGCTGGGGGGCCTGTCAGTATGAAGCCCCCAGGCCTCTGCTG